AGCGTCTGCCAAATGCATAAACATAAACATAGACTATGCAGAGTAGTTAGCTCCGTTAGCGTTAGCTAACGGCGGGCGGATGGAGACGGACCTCTCTGAGATCTCCTCCAGCATCTCCATGAGCTTGGCGGCCAGGCCCAGCCTCCTGAACTCGGGCGCCACCGACAGCGCCGTGACGTGTCCGTGCCACTCCTCCCTCGCCACCGAGCCCTCCGCCTTCCCCATGACTGCAACACAAGGCCCCCCCACAGCCCAGGCGTTAGGGAGACGCACCACAGCACACCTCTGGTCCCTGGATCTGATCTCTGATTGGGAAAATATTTATTTATCTATTTAAAACGGGAAAATCACTGTGAGAGCTTTTTTTTGGACTTAACTCATTGACTGGCAGCCATTATAATTGCGTTACATTGTAGGCATATTAAAAGGAAACTACAAAATGGTGCATTTACTTTTTTTTTTTTTTCGTCTTTGCTATTGGTTGATTCCCGCTCCCGTCTGCTCCCGTTAACAATTTATCCCGTACCGTCCAAATCCCGTGATTAACTCATTGACTGGCAGCCATTTTCAGAACAGAGTCCCATACTGCCAGAGTTTTTTGAGCATTTTGACTGATTTTTCAAGAGCCACAGAATAGTTTGTGCTATGACTATGTAAACACCGAACACACCAAAAGAAAGAGTAGACTCTCTTCTTTCATCAGGAAAAAAGATTTTGTTTCTACCTCATTCCGTTCTTCTTCGACGTGCGTCTCACCGGCGCCATTTCTCTCACAGCGAACCATTGCGTTTGTTTTTATTTGCCTACAGTCTATGCTCATCTCCCATCAAAAGTGGCACAGCTACCTAGAGGGTAAATTTGTTAGTCCATACTCTGTTTAGAAGCCGATATTTACGGGAAAACTTTCGCCGATCGTCCCCCAAGCCACTCGCATTGAAAAACATAAAAGACGTCTATAGACGTCTTTGGCAGCGAATGAGTTAATGAACAATCTCATACGGATTGTAAATGACCCAGATTACAGCATAGTTGCTAGTTTACATCTGTGGTCCTGAGGCAGGAAGACCAAACAACACAAAATCACAAAATACAAAATCAGTCCAAACACACGTTCAGACAATGACATTACAATATTAAAATTAATTCAATTCAATTTAATTTTATTTATATAGCGCCACATCACAACAACAGTTGTCTCACAGCTTTCCAAACAGAGCAGGTCAGACCTACTCTGAAGTTAATTACAGAAACCCAACAATTTAAATAACAAGAAATATGCGTAACTCACTGTGAGAGCTTTTTTTTGGACTTAATAAACTACCAAAACAATGTTTTTTCTATTGCTTTGGGGCTCTGACCACCCCTAAATATGTTCATTTTGAGGTAAAATAGCAGATTGTGCCCCTGGATGTGAGGTTTCCTGATAGAGTCCAGAGATAAAACGGTAAAATCACTATGAGAGCTTTTTTTGGACTTAACTCATTGACTGGCAGCCTTTTTCAGAACAGAGTCCCATACTGCCAGAGTTTTTTGAGCATTTTGACTGATTTTTCAAGAGCCACAGAATAGTTTGTGCTATGACTATGTAAACGCCGAACACACCAAAAGAAAGAGTAGACTCTCTTCTTTCATCAGGAAAAAAAAAGTGTTTCTACCTTATTCCGTTCTTCCTGGACGTGCGTCTCACCGGCGACATGTTCTCTCATAGAACCGTTAACTTTTTCTTATTTGCCTACAGTCTATGCTCATCTCCCATCAAAAGTGGCACTGCCCCCTAGAGGGTCAATTTGTTACTACATACTCTGTCTAGAAGCCGATATTTACGGACAAGCTTTAGCAGATCGTCCCCCAGACACTCTTGTTGAAAAACATAAAAGACGTCCATAGACGTCTTTGGCAGTTAATAAACTACTAAAACAATGTTTTTTCTATTGCTTCGGGGCTCTGACCACCAGTATCAAGTAATAACATTTCCTAAATATGTTCATTTTGAGGTAAAATAGCAGATTGTGCCCCTGGATGTGAGGTTTCCCGATAGAGTCCAGAGATAAAACGGGAGGACTTACTGTATCCCATCAGTTCACCTCC